TTTGGAAAGCTCTCGAGATGTGCTATAAGAATATGCAATGAAAAATGGGGTGTTCCATTTAAAAAAATTAATGTGACCTTGACCTGACCTTCGCTACGCAACCCAAGGTCAAACTGATGTGATCAGTAAATACATCTTTTTAAACGCCACAACTTTTGTCTGAAACATTTTTTTGGAAAACTTATATTTTTCCTGATATTCGGGCGTCCCGGTACTTTCCGAACACCCTGTATATATTGTTAATAATGTCGCATGTATATTCCATGAATATACTTATTTTGGAACGTACTTCGATATATATTGCATGCATATATGTTAAAGGAAATTCGCAGTACATTCGATATCCGTGATAAATGGTACATTCGGCGTGTGTATGTACATGAATATACTATTATGTACATCTTATGTATTTACTTTGATAGACTTAACATGTATATATATCTAGAAAATATATTTGCGATATGATGTACGATGTATATATGTTAAGTCAAGGTATATACTATTCATGTGCATTAATTTTAAAGGATTTTCAAGAGATGACGTAACTAGTACTATATCACATCGGGCCATATTGTTGCTACCTTCATATCAAAGCATCATCATGTGGCTTTAGTCTTCAGTATGTGTCATTTTGCCGAAGTGTAAACAACATTGTTTCTTTGAGCATTGAATAACATCGAATTTTGTGCCAACAAAACGCAATTTGTGGGAAGCTTTGCTTTTTTGCTTCCATTTGAAGAAAAGTGCTATTGAAAGTCAACGAATGCTGTCAAAAGCTTATGGTGATTATACTCCATCGATTTCAACATGTGAGTACTGGTTTCGACGCTATAAAAAAGGTGATTTTGACACGGAAGATAAGGAACGTCCAGGCCAGCCGAAAAAGTTTAAAGATGAGAAAGTGGGAACTTTACTCGATCAAGACCCGAGTCAAACGCAAGAAGAACTTGCAGAATCATTAAATGTTGATCGATCAACGATTTCCAAACGTTTGAAGGCCATTGGAATGATTCAAAAACAAAGAAATTAGAGTCCGTACGAGTTGAAGCCGAGAGACGTCGAAAGGCGCAAAATGACCTGTGAATTGTTGCTTCAAAAACACAGAAGAAAAAGTCTTTTGCATCTTATCGTGACGGGTGATGAAAAATGGATACGCTACGATAATCCGAAGCGCAAAAAATCATGGTGCAGGCCAGGCGAACCATCAACATCGACGGCAAAGCCAAATATTCATGGCGGCAAGCTCATGCTCTGTATTTGGTGGGATCAGCTGGGTGTAGTGTATTATGAGCTGCTCCAATTCAACGAAACCATTACTAGGGAACGCTACTAACAACAATTGATGCAACTGAGCCGAGCATTAAAGCAAAAACGGCCAGATTACGCGAAAAGACACGACAAAGTGATTTTCCAGTACGACAACGCTCGGCCACATGTTGCGAAACCAGTCAAGGAAACGTTAGAAGCGTTTAACTGGGATGTCCTACCATACCCACCGTATTCTCCAGATATTGCTCTTTCCAATTACCACCTATTTCGATCGATGACTCATGGCCTGTCTGAGTAGCGCTTCCATTCTTATAAGAATACCAAAAAATGGGTCGATTCGTGGATAACCTCAAAAGATGTGTCGTTCTTTCGACGTGAAATCCACTTATTACCAGAAACGTGCGGTAAGGCCGCACCTCCTCACTAATTATTACTCGCCAAAATCTCTAAATTACGTCTTTGATATCGCAGGGACGGAACGGGACCGGTAGCTCTCCTTTTATTTCAGTCGGAGTAGGGATGGGTTTATTCGTTATGGGTGGAAGCCGAGGAAAAAGAAGGCACTCGTAATTTCGATATAGATCTTTATTAGATCGGTACATGCGCTTTCCGGGCGCTATTCCTATCCCGCTCGCGTCGATACGTGCGCTAATCACATTACTCCAGATTCGGAGCTCTCGTATATTTTCGCGCGACCACTCTACATCCGGTATATTCGGGACGACAGTTTCGCGACAATTAAAGAAAATGCAAGCGAATGGGGAGGTCTTACAATTGGTCGGACTCTTCCTCGCCTTCCCTCCGGGCCGGTCTCCTCGCCTGTCGCTGTTCGCCTCTGCTTCGCTATCGCCGCTCCGTAACCGTGCTTCGCCGCTAGGAGGTCCCTGACCGTGGTCACTCACACCCGAGAAGTTCCGCGAGAGGCACTCGTCCTCGAGAGATTATTCCAGTATCACGATAATACATGAAACTCGGACTTCCGTGCGATATATCCCGAGTCTTTCGAGAGTACGGTACACAAAACATAACGTTCGAGAGTCACAGTAATCGGTTGTCGACAGTCGCGCGCTAAGGCTATCGTCGACCACGAGCAAGTCTCTCGATCCCGCATAGTTCTCGCTTTTTCTCTTCTCGGCGAGCCTTCCTCCCTCTCTCTCTCTCTCTCTTCTCGGCGAGCCTTCCTCCCTCCCTCCCTCCCTCTCTCCCTCCCTCTCTCTCTCTCTCTCTCTCTCTCTCTCTCTCTCTCTCGCGCTCCGTGTTTCCGTGGCACCTGCTTTGTTGTCAACTGTTGAGTGTCTCCTCGCCTTTCCGTCCCGCGTCTAGCAGCGTGCTGTAAACAAACATCGCCAGCGGCAGCCGAAATCGGAACGATAACACGTTCTTATGTACGAGCGTTAAAGTACCGTTTCACGTACCCTTTTAAACGGCGACTTTCCTTGAGGCCGATGACGTTTCTTCTTTCTTCTTGTTCCCTCGGTGTCCTGTGGTCTCTGCCCTTCGTGATCGACGAGGAGAGTTGGGGGGCACATTTTCTTAGGGCGCGACCATCCCACTTGCGGGACCGCATACGTTTCGCTAATCAACTCCCCCCCCCC